GAAGACCGCATCTCGCAAAGGATAAGATGAAGACCGCATCTCGCAAAGGATAAGATTGAAGACCGCATCTTAGAAGTCACATCTTAGATGAAGATAAAGACCACATCTAAGGAAGAAGGAGAGATGAAGACCACATCTCGCAAAGGATAAGATGAAGACCGCATCTTAGAAGTCACATCCTAGATGAAGACCGCATCTGAGGAAGAAGGAGAGATGAAGACCGCATCTCCCAAAGGATAAGATGAAGATCGCATCTTAGAAGTCACATCCTAGATGAAGATCGCATCTAAGGAAGAAGGAGAGATGAAGACCACATCTCGCAAAGGATAAGATGAAGACCGCATCTTAGAAGTCACATACTAGATGAAGACTGCATCTGAGGAAGGAGAGATGAAGACCACATCTCGAAAAGGACAAGATGAAGACCGCATCTTAGAAATTACATCCTAGATGAAGACCGCATCTGAGGAAGAAGGAGAGATAAAGACTGCATCTTGCAAAGAATAAGATGAAGACCGCATCTTAGAAGTCACATCCTAGATGAATACTGCATTTTAGGAAGAAGAAGAGATGAAGATCGCATCTTGCAAAAGATAAAATGAAGACTGCAACTTTCACTTATACATTGTTTTCAAAGCTTAAAATTGGGTTGTTCTTTTATTCTTTACTTTTCTTTTTTTTTTTTTACAAAAAAAGAAAAGTAAAAAGGGGGCAACTGTCATAACCCTATTTTTATTGAGGGGCTAAATGATAAAATTAAAAGTCAATGGACTGTTTTTATAAAGTTGGAAACTTGAAGGGGTTAAGAAGAGGAAATGGTAAAACGACGTCGTTTTGCCAATGGGCTAAAAAATGAAAGGTTGGGTTAGTTGAACCCTAGCCTTCCCTGTTTTTTTTTTTTCTCTTTATCGCACCTCCTCTCTCATCAACTCCAGCACGATGCCAGGAAGATTTCTTCGAAGATAAGCTTTTCTTTGAGCATAAGCTTAGCCAAGTGAAGGATTTGGATAAAGATGTACCAGCCATAAGTCATTAACTCCAAGGAGTCTGAAATTGATTCAAGTAAGGAGTCCTAATGTATAAAGGTATGAATTTAGACTTAAAAGGGGGTAAAGGTGAGAAGAATTAAGAAATCTCATTCCAAATAGGATTGGGTGATTATCTTAGGGATTTGGATTGGATGTTAGAGGCATATTAGGATTGGGTTTTCCCTTTTCTATAAAAAGGGGGGGTTTTCGGCTTCTAAGGGGGGAGATTCTAATGGAAGATTGGAAAATTGGGGAAACAAATCAGGAGAGAGGGGAAGAAAATTGGTGAAGCTTGGAGGGAATATTGGAGAGATCGAGAGTGAGAAAGGCAAATCAGAAAGTTGTACTTGGACTTCAAGAAATAAAGTCTTGATTTTTTCTATTTTCTGCAGGTGTGCATCATTCTTAATTTTCTTTTTTCTTTTTTCTTCTGCGTTGCCTTCCTATTGTATTCTATTCTTTCTCCTTTCCTTTTGCTTTTGGTGATTGCTTGATTCCCCTTTTAAGCCGTTCTCTTCCAAGTTTGCTGAAATTAATCTTGATTGGAAAAAAAAAGTTTATAGATTAGGTTATATTAATTGTTGGGAATAATGCAGAATCTTTTTGGGAAAGTCTGTTTTGTTTTTGTTTTGTTTACCCATAAAGCATTTTTTTTCGGAGATATTAGATG